ACTCTATCATCTAGATGAATGTCACAAGTTATATTAAGTAAACAAAGTAGACAGCAAAATGAATGAATTTATAAAATTCATTTATAAAAAAGTGAATAAACACATAAAATTAAATTCTGTTGATTAGGGATACAGACATAGGTGATAAAGCTATCAAAAAAATTTTTTTAAAAAGGAATGGGCTACCTCTGGATGTGGAATAAAGGAGTTGCTATTTGGGAGAGGCACTTGGTGGCTTTCAAAAGCAGTGATGATTAGTTTCTATTGGGGGAAAAATGTACCCATGTTTATGTTTAAGTACTATGTAAAGCTTACATATAAGCTACATATAATGTAGAATCCACATATAATAACTCTAAGATAGTGTTCCCTCAACAGATTGATTAGTACATTTATTTCCATTATAAACTGAAATTTTCCTTAGTTCATATAAAATGGTGTCACTGACCTTCTTATGTGAGTGACAATAGAAGTAGGGCACTTCATACATTTTAAGAAATTACTTATAAAAACAATCTTTGGTCCACAAATACTAAACTGAAGGTACATTAGGATATAAGTCCATTTTGATTCTTGCATATCAAGCACATCATAATAATTTAGTTTTCTTTGAGACATCTTGAAAATGAAAGTGACAGAATATTGAATTAAAAAGAGCAAAGAACATGAGACAGTCCATTAGCAGATTCAGTATGCATAAAAAAAATGGAAATGCTTCCAGTAAAATAGCTGGATTTTACATCCTAATAAACTTATGACACGGGTCCTTCATTGCCTTCAAAAACTGCAAAACTCTGGCTCCCTGGGCAGTGGAGGGTCCAGCTCTGAGAATCACTGGGAGGTGACAGAAATAGCTGCACAAATAATGGAGTTTGTACTTGCTCCCAAACTGCTAAAAACACCGGATATGGATTAAATTTTCATGATAAATTTTCCTCCCCTTTTTTCCTGTGTCTTTTTGGTCTTTATTGTTCTTCTTTCAAAAGCATAAAGAAAAGATCACATATACATACTCCCACACTCTCACATGTGAGGAAACTGTGCAAAAGTACTGGCACATTCAGAGATGAGCACAGGTCTTGTCAGGCACTGAAAGTTGAACCAGACTGCTTGACAAATCTGATAGAAACGCGTCCTTGCCTGCAATGCAATTTCTATGGAATTTCTGGAAAAGCCCAGTGTCTTTTGAGAGGAGAGGAGATCTCTCTAATAAGAAAGACTCAGTTGGGATAGGCTGAGGACCAAAAGGCTGGGGCCAGGATTCTGAGAGCCCCAAGCTTTCCACACTATCTTAAAATTCCCTCCAGCTTCAATTTTGAAATCAGAAGGTGGAGGAGAAAAGGGTACTTTGGAGGGTAGTTTATGATGTTTCTCTTTTGATGGATTACCTGTTCTCTGCTACAGCAACTGAGAGAGACAACAAGGTTACAAGGAACATAAAGCGAAGGAGAGCACTGGCATTTCCTGAATCCTACACAGGTCCTGCAGCTTTGATACGTGACTGCCCTGCCTGCACAAGGCCATCAATTCTCTGTGCAGCACCACGGGGAGTGGAATATGCAATTTGTTTGATTATAGTTATCATTATTACATCAAGCTGAACAACATTTTCAGCTCTGTGAACTAGAGGGAGGAGAAACACCAGAGGGGTTGGATTCAGACTGACAAAGGAGTGGAGAGGGAGAGGTTTGGAAATTCCTTTTATTCTCTTTTCTGCTGGTTGCCAATTCTTGACAATGGAGTGCATATCTGGGCCGTAATCTAATAGATTCTGATTCAGTGTCAAGTGGGCCAAGGAATCTACTTTTTATAAGCACCCCCAGGTGATGCTGAGGAAATTTTTTAAATGGTACAAGACTGGATATATCATGAGATTAAATCCCCTGAAAACATCTGTTTACTCTGAGAAGCCTGATGTATATTGGTTAAACCTTCGGATTTTGTGAGATGATTGGTTATAAGCTCCTTGAGTGACAGGACTTTGCTTGGTTCCCCCTGCCCCTAGAAGAGTGTTTAACATAAGGTAAGCATCAATCAATAAACATAAGATCTAATGAATGAGGATATGCATACTCTGAGTCAACATTATGGTTACACTTTAGATGCTCTTGGACATTAGCTTCTCCATGTGGCACCTATTTGGGAAGCTGGAGGAACAATGTATTCCTGTAATGTCATGATAAATGTTTAAAGGAGGCTCAAGCCTTAACCTAAATTTCTCACTCATTTGCTCGATGGTCTTAGATTGTGATTTAAGAAAACATAGTATAGATTTATTTAACGGTGCATTTCCTAGTAGTAAAATAAAGCCCCTGCTTCTCTCTTTAGAGCACAGATCCTATTGACAGTGGCTTTATGACATATCTTCCCCAGTAACTGGGGCTAAATTTTAGTGTAGGACATGAGTTTTATATCAAAACAATCTGTCCTCTGTGCATTGCTGAGTTTTCCTGTTCTATAAGAAGAATGAATATTATTAGTAAAATGGAGGTTGCAATTAAATTTTGGAAAATAACAATCTCTGAATTGGTAAAAGACAAAGAACACTATAAATATTTAAACTTTTGGACTTGGGCTGAGTCAATTTAAGCTGACTACCCTCAGTATGGGAATACTCTTTCCTAAGCCACTGACTTGCATGTCAGCATGTCATGTCTTTTTTTGTTTTTCCCAGTAACATTTTAAGCAGTCCTATTGAGGACTCCAGAGGGAGTATTAAGATATATGTATAATGGGGAATGTCAACAACAACAACAAAAATATGTCATTTGAAAACATCTGCCATACGATTTTGAAAATTCAAATGAAACAAACCTCTAAAAACATTATAACCTTAGGTAACTTGAAAATACATAATTTGAACTTGTTTTGCTGGATAAATGAATGGAGATGAATTAATTTCAAAGTTGAATTTTCTTATTTAGGTAGATGAAGTCAAAGGACAAAATTTAACTAGAATATTGACATTATGGAAATGCTAATGATATGTGCTACAAGCTTAGAAGAACATCCAAACAGTCATAGCACAGTCGATTATGTAAAAGTTGAAAGCTGCAACCACAGTGCCAGAAGAGATTTAACGTAAATTTTATTAAAAAAAATTTTTGTATGTAATATATATATATATATAATATCAAATTATAATTGATTCATGGGTAATAATTCAAAGAAAGGATGTAGGGCCTTGAGCTTCTTACAAAGGGACATTTTAATTGCTAATAACATAGAGGCATTAGGGAGGGTAAATATAGTTTTGCTCCACTTATAGCTGTATTTGAATGAAAATATAGAGGAAGTTCACTGACATTTTTAATTGTTTGGTTTTTGCCTTTTGATGTTTTGTTGATTTGTTTGTTTTCTTTGTCTACTTCCTAGAAAACTGCTAAAACTGGTATTTGTTCTAGTATGGGGAGACCAGGCTTCTCCCAGTTGGGACAATCTGAAATGTGTGTTCTTTGTGAATAATCAAGCCTAACATTGTGCTGAATAGTCAGTGAGTCTTTGATGGTGCTTTGCTCAGTTTCTTAGCAAAAACTGAAAATGTTTCAATCCATGGAATGAAATGTTAATTTAAATTGTTTCCCAGGAAATGAAAATAGCTTCTTCCTATATAGTTTGTAACAGTTGTTGTCCTTTGATAGATGGAATTGTAGCTACATTGTTTTCCTTCCTTTACATTTTTCCACACATATGTACACATGCACATACATATTTCTCTGTAATTAATATATATTTCCCTTTTAAAAAGAAATAGCTTTTAAATTTTTATTGGAGTAGAGTTGATTTACAATGTTGTGTTAGTTTCAGGTGTACAGCAAAGTGAATTATATATATATATTCTTTATTAGATTCTTTTTCCATATAGATTATTACAGAATATTAAGTATAGTTCCCTGTGCTATACGGTAGGTCCTTGCAGTTTATCTATTTTATATATAGTAGTGCATATATATTAATCCCAATCTCCTAATTTATCACCTCCCCCACCACGTTTCCCCTTTGGTAACTATAAGTTTCTTTTTCGAGATCTGTGAGTCTGTTTCTGTTTTGTAAATAAGTTCATTTGTATCATTTTTTGTATTAGATTCCACATATAAGTGATATCATATGGTATTTGTCTTTGACTTACTTCACTTAGTATGATAATCTCTAGGTCCATCCATGTTGATGCAAATGGCATTATTTCATTCTTTTTTATGACTGAATAATATTCCATTGTATATATGTACCACATCTTCTTTATCCATTCCTCTGTTGATGAATATTTAGATTGTTTCCAAGGAAATAACTTTTTTTAAAGCAAAAGAATGAGAAATAATCTCATTATACAGAATTATATGATAAAATGGCTTTCATTAAAACAGTAATCTATCTAGATATGTTGTGAATATTCTTGGCAACTTTTATTGAAATAAAAGTTTATTCATGTATTTAAGAAATACTTATTTAGCTTCTACCAAGTGCCAGGTACTGATTCGAAGTGCTGGGATATAAGCAATGAACAAAGGGAAGTTCCTGATGTCATGGAGCTCATGTTGTCATGGATGATAGACAATAAATTATGTAATATGTTCAGGGATGACAAATGCTATGAAAAATATCTAAGAAAATAGGGTGAGGAGATGGAGAGTGATATAGAAGGTGCTATTTTGTATAGGTTGGGCAGGGAGTAATGAATGTATCTGAATAGATACAAGGACATTTCAGCAGAAACCTATTTAAAGTGGGTGAGCTAAGGAAATATCTCTGAGAAGAACTTCATAGGCAGAGGACGTGTAAGTCCAGAGGCACTGAGTGGAAGCATGCTTGGCATTTTTAATATCAAGGAGGCCAAGGTGGATGGGGTGGACTTTGAGAAGGAAAGTAGCACAGAATACAAAGTCAAACAGGGTGGTAGAAGGTCAGATTATACGGAGGTCTGATGGCCATCGTGTTCTGAGTGAGTTGAAAAGTTGTTGGAGGTTTTGAGCAGAGATGATGTTCTGTTTCATAATTAACAGGATCATGCTGGCTACTGTGTGGACAGTAGGTGATAGCAGAAAAGAAGTGGAAGCCAAGAAGCTGATATGGAGCCAATGAGCAGTTCAGGTGAGGGATAATCTCGCTTTCTGGGTTTCTGGCTGAGTAGTTCTTGGGTACATAGAAGTCCTCAGCTTTTCTGAATGTTTTATGTCTCATGAGATTTCTTCTGTGGCCTGAATGGAAGTCTCATTTGGTTACTATCCAAAGCAACTATGAACAAAGCTGCCTACCCTGGCTTGAAATTATCTCCAACGTATTGCCTATGATGGGAAAAAACATTATAAAATTTGACAAAAAAAAATTTTTCAATTTTATTTCCATCATTTTGCATATAATTCAGCCTTATCAAAGAATCATTTAGAGAGAAAGAATATTAGCATTTAAATGATTTACGTTAAAGTCTGTTATACCTATTTAGGTCTAAGATTGATTTTTATTCTTATGATGTGGGAGAGAAGAGAACAAAAGGTCTTAGATTATGAATTTGGAATTGTTGAATCTTTTCTCTGCAGGAGGTGGTGTTACTTATATGCAAGGGTCAGGTGAGTCCAGAAAACTAATGCAGAAAGAAGGACTTAGCCTCCAGAAAAATTTATATCTAATTTTGAATCTCTCATGGCAGCATTAAAAAAGAGAAATGAAAACAAAGAGTGGAAAAGGGGAGATTAGATAGCAGAGTAGATTGTTTACTTTCCTTTGCCTCCTGGATTTTCATTCTTTTATCTCTGCAGCCTTGAGGATTTATTGGCACCCATTTCATTTGTCTTTCTCCAGGTTTAAAATTGAGGTGATGAGATGGAATATTACCTGTGTGCTTCAGAACATCCATGAGTGACATGTGATAGTTGCCTGGGAAACTAGAGATGAAATTTTATAGGCCTTTGAAATGCCTTACATTTGAGAATTAAGCTCAGCTGAAGTTTAAACAGCATACTGACAGTGAGTATTGATCTCTCACATTATCTGTTAGGATATTTGAGGTGCAGATAACAGAAAAACCCCAACTCCAAGGGGTTTAACCAACAAAGAAATGTATTATCTAATATAACTGGAAGTACAGAGGTAGAATGAGCTCCAAGTGTGTTGTAATGAGAAGCCTAATATAATCGAGGATCCAGCTCCTTTTCGTCTTTCTCCTCTGTTTTACTCAGCTACCTCCTAGGGCTGGTTGTCCTTATGGTTTCAAGATGGCTGCCAGCGACATCCTGAGCGACATTAATTCTTATTAACTGCCAGCAGGAGAGGAGAGGGGAGCTTTCTCCCTTAAACCTAGAAAATAGTCCTTTTCTTCAATCTGATTGGGAAAACTTAATTCACATGTCTACCTCTAGACTAAGGAAGGCCATGATCTAACTGGCACAAACAAATCAAAATCCTCCTTGAGGACTAGATATATTGTGAATCTCTGGATTAAAAGGGCTTCTACTAGGAAGAAAAAAGGGGGGAATTGGGAATTAGGCATTGTATATATCATACAATGGAGAGGCAAGAGTTAACAACACATTCTACACTGGAAAAAACTTTCAAGGAATGGAATCTGCCCCAAATTTTGTTATTCTGTCCCTTGTCATCAACTCCGTGGACATGTATCTCCCTCACTAAGGATGAAAAGAGAAGGGGAGGGAGTTCTGGTGAGTCCAAAGTTTCTCCTTTCTACAGTATTTTGAAGCACTTCATTAAAGAACTTAGCAATAGTTATTTTAAAACATAAGTGGTTCTAAGGCCTTTGTTCAGCATCCAAAACTTAAAATCAATGAATACTTGTGATGTTATAATAGTGGTTTGTTGCTTATAATTTCCTGTATTCTGAATTCTTTAAGATACCGGTAATAATTTATTTCAGCATCTTTATTAGCTGTATCTATAGATATAAATATTAGTAAGCAATTAAACAAGGCTTTTGAGACATTTTCCCTTTTATTTTGGAATCATGAAATTTTCTTTGTTAAAAATAATTTTAGCATATTAGAACCCAACCATGCAACTGCAGATATATAACAAACTTGCTTTTTTTGCAATTCATTTATAAATAATTTATTTATGTATTAATTTTCTATTGCTGTGTAAAAATTACTGTAAACTCAGTGGCTTAAAGAAGTGCAAATTTATTATCTTACAGTTCCTGTACGTCAAAAGTCTGGGCACGGTGTAGCTAAGGTTCTCTGCTCAGGGTTTCACATGGTTATAATCAAGGCTGCCACCAAGTGCTGGTCACACTGTCATTCTCGTCTGAGGCTCCATGTCCTCTTTCAAGCTCATTAAGCCTGTTGGCAGAATTCAGTTCCTTGTAGTTGTAGGAATGTCCCCATTTTTAAATAATGTTGCCAGGGATCCCTCTTGGCTCCTAGAGGTCACTCACAGTTCTTTATTAGTGTTTCCTTTTTTCCAGACCAACAGGAGCATGTCCAACTTTGAGCCTCTGATTTCCTATGTCTCTAGACACAGATCTAAGGGTGCATGTGATTAGGTCAGGCCCATCTGATAATCTATCTTAAAGTCAGTTGACTGGGGATTGTAATTTGATGTGCAAAATCCCTTCACAGTAGCACCTAGAATTGACGACCTGGGAGAAAGTATGTGCACACCAGGGAGCTTCCAAACGTAAAGGCTGGGCTTCCATCTCTCAGTGGAAGATCCAAATATTGTTTGCTGGGGTCTCATGTGTTGGACACTAAATACTTCAGAAGAACTATTCTTCTCTCTCTCTCCTCTCCTTTCCCTCTAGCTAGATACAAATCAGTTGAATTTCTCCCCTACAGGAAAAAATATATAAAGAATTACCTCTGTAGGTTGCAAGGGCAGGATGAGAAGGAAGATGAAGATAATGAAAAAATAGTATTATGTCTGAAGAAAATAGGGAAAAATATAATTGAGGAGAAGATGTGAGAAGGAACAAAGAACAACCCAAAAGGCAGGCATCCATGAGAGAGAGTTGGTGTCAGGGTTCTATGGGTTTGAGATAAAGTTAGAACAAAAGAAATCATTATATGAGTATGAAAAGATGGAAAAAACAAGGCAGAGACATTAGAGTGCAAAGTAATAATAATGATGGCATTTGCGGCCATGGATTTGCTTTGAACAAGGCACTCTGCTTCTTTTTCCTAAATAATTTCCTGTGGTGAAGGAAGGCTGATGGCAGCAAATATTTTTGTATATATCTTGATCTTGTTAACAGTATTTCTCAACACTCACTTTGTTATGGTCTGGCTGCTGCTTTGAGGAGCCAGACAAAACAGATAATATTACACTTAATAAACACATATGAAGGCCAAAAACATAGCTACAAATGAAAGAAGTTTAAAATAACCCAAGGTGGTCTTGTAGTCTCCTTGCAACAAACTGTTTGGACAAGAAAATGAGAATGTATATAACCCAGTGTGTTGTTTTCTCCTTTTTCTTTTTCAAAATACTAACAAGGATGAATATAATTTGAAAACAACTTCATAAATCCATTTTCCCCAGAGCACCGTAAAGAAATATTCCATGTGAGTACCAACTGATTCCTAGTTACTAAATCAGAAGTGATCAAATAAAGTTAATGATAGAGGGTTGGCTAAGCTGAGACTTTCAGTAGCATGTTTGTGTGTGTGTGTGTGTGTGTGTGTGTGTGTGTGTGTAAAATCCAGTACAGATGTATTGCAAATATCTATCCTTTAAGCATGCCATATGCATCTCTTTTAAAATAAATCGTGAACTATTGCAGAATTAGTTTCATTTTAAGAAGAAGCAACATATATCACAAATGCAGGAGATTTTGTTTTGGCTTCTGACTTTTTGATGCTCCTGAATCTTCAGGTTCTTAGTTCCATAAAAGAAGGGCCTAGGCTGAGGTTGAGAGTTCCTATGGCACCATCAGTCAGTAGCAAACAAGTGAGTATGCCAGGCTGCTCCTAATGTCCTCTATGAAGATCCACTTTTCTCTTTGACTGGACATTGTTGCCATGGGGTTATGCAGTTGACTCATTTTCATTTTGTTGGGGGAATTGCGAGAGTGCTATAAAGAAGGGAGATGAATTGGAAGAAACAGTTCTCTCTTTCCTTCTCTGCCAACAAGCTTTAGAGCATAGCAGAGGGATGATTCAGAATCCAACATACTTGTGACTCTGATGCCCATTCTAATTAGATGACTACTTGTTTGGGCTTTGTAAGACATCTCCCACAAGAATGAAGAGGAGTTTTTCTGAGAATAGAGGCAGAAATATATTTGCAGGATTGTTAATAACAGCTGCCAAAGACAGCAATGATGCCAAGATTATTAGCCTAAGAGGAAGACACAATTTAGGATAATTTTTTGGAATTAATTTACTAACCAAATCACCAACATTGACCTCAGGTATGTGCACCTACTTTTCCCCCTGGCTTCTAGATCTGACTCCTTGTGTATGAGTAACCGTTCATGGATTACCAGGCATCATTTTTCTCAGATAAAGTCCTCAGATAAAAGAAATGCCAGTGTTCCATTCCCCATATTTTTCAGGTTTAAGTGTTTGTTACTAAAGTACCAGAAAGCAATGACACTTTGTGGCTTTTGGGATACATATGGCTTTTCAAAATGCAGTTCATGAAAGCTTCCAATTTCTGAAGTAGTGATATTTTTCATCACAGGGCATCAGTAGCCCTATGATTCTTTGGTCCAGGAAAGCTTGCCATATCATTTTGCAAATTATGACTACAAAATACTGAAGGCAATCTTGTCAAGAGGATGTGTTCTTTCTGTTACTTGAACTTTATTTTGGTTGGGTCTCAGCTCTAATGAAGACTGGCCTGGGTGATTCTGGTTTGAAAAGGTCACAGGTATACCAAAGTCTATATAAGTATTTTCATCTTATTATGTCTCTACCACACAGCTGCTATTGAATTTTCCTGGGAGAATATACTAGGAGGGCCAAGATCCTTGTACCAGATTATTGATAGCAGCTCTTAATATATGTAGCTCTTGGGGAAAGAAAGTGATTTAATTCATAGTAGTATTCACTAATGCATAAGTAGAATCAAAATTAGCTGCTTATAATTCGTTAAGAAATCAGAATTTCACTTGGGAGTAAAAATTACTTCAAATATAAAATAATAATGCTATCATTATGCATCCTTTTTTGAAAATTTGTGAATATTAATGACTTGATGATGTTTCTGGAGAAAGTTCTTATGAGTGACATTTTTGTTTGTTGCTTTATCTTCATTTGACAGACCAAGTTGCTAAGTCCATATTAATGGGTTAAACTGATTTTTTTAATTACATTTGGAATGCAACAGTAAATTAAGAATTTATTAAATTAATTGGGTTATTTTATTCAAATGCTTCCAGGGTGATTATCATGATACCTAAGTAATCAGACTCAATCTAAATAAATTAATTCAATAAAATATTAGCCTAGTTTGTGCCTTAATGGAATCATTTCATTAATACTGTCAGGAATGAGGAGAAAAGTTTCCAGGCGTTTTAAAGAGCACCAGCAGCATAAATGTGGTCAATACATTATAGCTGGCAGTGGAGTTTACCAAGTTAAGGAAACTATGTTACTGATTAGAAAAGGCCTGATGATATTACTCCTCCATTTTACTGAGAAATTTAAGGTTCCCCACAAGCCTCCCCACAAGGCTCCGCATACTCATCATCCAACTTTTTCATTTCTATAACCACTCTATAGCTTCTCCCTCTTTTCCATTTTACAGTCTCTGAGAAAGAAAGAATCTTTTTTAACCAAGGCTGATCCTTCTGCTTGTGCTCTAATCCTACTCATTGTTCTGTCTTCTCTAGGGCTTTGATTTATCAAATATGTCCTGTAAAATTATTTATCTATCTACATATATTTCTTTAATTTTTCATTTACAACTACTTTCTTTCCCTCTGCCTGAAAATATACTTGGGATAAGCAACAAACAGCCCCCTGAGAAAAATAAACAAAAATACAAACACACTTCTCTGATTATTGCTGCCCCCAAACTTCTTACTGTTTTGTCACTTTCTTTCCATTTTCTTTTAGCAGTCTTAGAAAATGAATTTACCCTTGGTGCCTTACCTTCCATATAGTTGACTTATTTTATATACTTAGGATTCTGTACCTAATGAAACTGGGGTCTCAAAGATCACTAAACAATTTTAACTAACACATTTATTTCATTCCTCTTCTATTCTGATTTCCAAGGTTGAAGTTTTTCTTGAAATATTTTCCTGGCCAGTGTTCATCATTTGCCTCCTAAATTTCTTTTTTTTTTTTCTCTCTCTTCTCATTTTTTATTTTTTAAGAAAGATTTAGGATTTTGTAAGAAATTACTGTTACATTTTTTAAAAATCTGTCAAGTACTGCAGTAATGGAATAAATAAATAAGATTTTTAAAGTTCAGTGTTTATAGACATATGTATAAAATAATGACTGAATTAGAAGACATTAAATAATGTTGATACACACCAGGAAGGGATTAGGCAAGGAAAGGCACATCATTTCATCACAAGAAATAAAGACCATAGTTGGAAGTTAATGACCAGCCAAAGCTTTAGGTCTTGTGGTAGTTTTCATAGCTCCAGGGGGTCATTATGGTGGAACCTTCTGTATGGTACTTAGCTGAAATAAATAGATGGCAGTTGGAGAATTTTACTCTGGGACCCCAATGTAGTGTTAAAAAGAAAGCACTGTTTTAATAAG